AACCACATTGCTCCCTGGATCTAAGGATAGACCTGGGCTCTCTTCAACATTGGGCTTGTGAAAATTCAATCTCACACCCCCTATTTTCTTTTGTTATCAGGCCCATTTTTGTATTCCTTTAATTTTTTTAGTTTTTCTCTATTAAATATTTAATTAACTAAATAGTCAGAAAAATCACAAAATATTAAGTTAGTTCTTTTTTCTAATTAAACTAATTTTGTAAATAAATTAAATAAATATTTTAACTATTTTCTTTAATTTAAAATGAGTTAGAATTTAGGATTTAATTTATGTTTTAGTCATTTTATTTTCATAATAAAAACCAAAAAGAACATAGACTATTTTTTTTTAATTTTATTTTATTTTCTAAATAGATTTTAGGATTAATTAATTATTTTCTTAAATAAAAAAAATCAGAAACAAACAAAATGATTTTTATTTCTTAGGATGTTTTTAGACATTTTCAATTTCACACGCGTTTATTTAATTTCACATTTTTATTATTAATGTACTTGCTCATGGTCTGTAATAGTAACTAAGACTTTACTTTCCGCATTGCTCTAATGTACCTCTCACAAAGCCATGTAATAGCGTAGATTTAATTTCCGTATTTAAATTCATGTACATATATTAACTGTTAGATGTATGTTAATAGGAATGCATGACAAGAGCTTAATAATTAAATGATTAGCAAACTTAACAAAATACAAAATAACTGAACGCAACACACCTGCACATATACACCTCTAGAGTACACTCACTTCAATTGCCTTCAGAAAATAGTCACAACACTCGAAACGTGAGAGGTTTTAGTGGCTGCCCTCTAGTTCAAAAAGATCATAAGTCTCTCGATGACCCGCTCGACGTTGCCTCAGTAAAAATATGATCTTAGAACCTTAAAGTAGTTACTAAACTTCTTGCCCAGTTGCCTTTGTGACTATAAATCGTCCCTTCGATTGTCCCTCAAACATTCAACGACAAGGCTACCTACTCACTGATAGTAGGATATTATTGTTTAAAGGAAAAGAGGAAAAGAACGACCTTTTTCGAGTACAAAAGTAGATAGTTGTTATAAGTTTTCTCAAAACATTTTGCACTTATACAAATACTACTTTTCAAAAAAAAATTCAAAACATTTTATATACTTTCTCCACTATCCCGAGAAACATTATAAAGTTCGCCATACTAAGGCATTTTCCAAACATTTTCAAACACACAAAGCACGAAGGTATTTCAAAATGAGAAAACCTCTAAGAGCCCATAGATAACTATGAATGGAAAGGATGCTAAAACCTTCCCTTTCCATAATCTACACCCCTTACTCAGAATAATCTCGAAAATGTCTTTTTCTGTTCTTTTTACCTTTTCCTTAATTTGGATAAAAAAAGTCGGTGGCGATTCTTGCTTACCGCAACATTTGCAAATACAAACATAAAACCCATATAACAGTCGGTTTTACCACCGTATCAAACACTATTTACAAATATCCCCATACCCGAGCCCAAACCCGCATGAGCACCAATGTTCATACCCGTACTCGTACCCTATGGGTACCTCAATACCCGTACTCGTGGCTGTTACCCGCGTTTGTAGTAAAATTAAATTAATTAATTAAAAATATCATATAATTTAACTTTTTTAACAATATTAAAAAATTATAGATGTTATTGATGAGTTAAGAAATAAATAAACACTTTATTAAAAAACTGATAAATGCGCATGTTTATATATTAATAACATTATATAAATATGTCGTGCGGGTATGAGGCGGGGTGGGTAGTAAGGTACCCATGGCCACATCTGTATCCACTTATTTTAATGGGTAATTACCCATGCCCATACCCATTTTGTGGGTTTTTATCATACCGGTTATGAGCATTTTTTGCGAGTGCCCATAGGGTATGGGCCAAATTGCCATCCCTATTTCCTGCATTGTCGACCCAAAAAAAATCTTAAAATCCCCCAATTTACTATTTTAATATAATCACACAATATTATTTGTTTTAAGTTCGCAATCCCTGTGGAGACAAATTTATTTTTATTACTTTGATAATAACACAAGTACACTTGATATTTTCAAGTTTTTGACGTTGTTGTCGGGGATTGTTGATATTTTCAACAAGACATAGTGTGCGGCATTCATAAATGTTTTATTTCGTTCTTTTTAGTTTTTGAATTTTTGTAAATAGTTTTCCTTCTTTTTTAATTTAATTTCCAAATTTGGTGAGTATATTTCCTGCGAGTGGAGCTACTTTCTCCACCTCCAACGAACCCTCTTGCGATAGTGTTAGGGGTATGACATATTTTCCTATCCCCATCTCCTCTGCGGGACTTCTGAGGGGGCCAAGGGGATCCCCCCTTGAATGTACTTCTTCAAACGGCCCTCTTGGATGAGCCAATCAATCTATTTCTTCAATTGGGAAATGGTCTTCAATGTGGTGACCCTTGACCTTATGATACTTACACTATATGTTGGGTCATGTGTTTGAAACCCAGTTATTATATGGTTTAAAATAGTTTGTGATCTTTCTATAATAAAAGTTGTTATAAGAACCATGATTAAATAATTTTTTATTTTATTTTATTTTTCCATATCGTATAAATCTTTATTTTTTAACTATCTATATTATACATAATATACATTACCATGTATACATAATATTTTTTTAACAGTATTACAAACATGTATTTTTACAAAATATCAAATTAAGCAACAAAATATATTTACAACCATCAAATACAAATCATATAGTCCCCCTTCCCCCTTTCAACTAACACATTAAAAATAAACGTCTAACGTTTTCAGACATCGTCTAAGTCATCAGCAGAGAAAGGTGTCCTGTCGATAAACGTCTACATAAACAAGTGAGGAAAACTGAATATTGTTGAGGGGAGTTACTAGGAGCATCGATACATAATGTTGGAATAAGCACCTTTGTGAGAGACACACCACTTGCCCACCTAAAACCTTAAGGTGGTAGGTGAGTGGGTTCTCCCACTTATATATGCTTAAGTCTCCATATTCCTATCTCTCATACCCCAATTTTTAATCTAAGATCCCATCTTCATTTGCATTTTTAATACAAAAATCAAGGTCACGAAATACAGTCGGTTTTAACCTCTCAACTTCGAGCATTGCCTATGCAGAGATTGTCAAGTGTTTTTAACATTTTTAGCATATGTATCACTAACTTCTAATCACATATAAAGGTGCATGTTTATGTTTCTTTTGTTTCGTGTGCAGAGATAGGTCTGAATCAAGAGAAACAGGTATTGCGCCTCAGTTAAGTTTTTTGGTCCCTCAAGTGTTAAAGAATGTTGAATCATCAATTCTCAAAGGCTACTTCATCAAAGCTTAGCCTTTAATCTCGAGAGAATAGTCAAGGTTTCATTATCACTGGTTCACATGTGCGTCAGTGCATCTTAGATTGCAAGAAAATATCAGGCTATGTGAGACAACTTAAAGCACTTCTACCAAAAGTTAACTCTTGAAAGTTCAATTTCAAACGATCATAACTTGTTCAATTTTCAACATCCTGGGCGATTCTTTTTGCAAAGTATTACAAATATCATTGTCTATGAGATTACTTCAAATATCGAGGTTCAATTCATGCCACAGACGTTTTCTCAAGGGACGTTTGATTCTTATGTTGGGATAATTCATGAAACTAGAGTTTTAGTTCAATGATTCTTTGATTGCTTGTTACCTATTTCAAGTTATTTGCAATTGAACATTAGCGATCATTGGATTAAGGTGGATTATTGATTAAATTTCTTAAAGGCACAATTTATGTTATTGGCTCGTGTTGCAAGTTACCACGAATTGAAAATATGGGTTTTAAAGAAGATTTGAGGATCAATTTGAATAATTCTTTTTGATTTCAGATCAATTCAAGAGTGCGAGGCGCAATTTATTCATATGAATTTTCTTTTGGATTTAAGATATACAAAAGAACTAATTTTCATGATGCCAATTTGCTCGAGTTTGAAGATCAATCCAAGTAATTTGTTTGGATTTCTAGGAGCAAATACAAAATACTCATTCATCTACCATTCAAATTTCATTCAAAGTGTATATTGAGAACCCAAACACGTTTATGCATAAGTTACACTACTAGGACTATTCAAGATTTATTTGGATTTAAGTTTCCAAGATACATCACCATCATTTTTATGTCACAAAAGGAATTCCTAATTTCTTATGTCATAAATTACATCATGAGAATTCAAATCATATGACAAAGACTTTACAAACCATTCAACTTTGATCTTATATCAAATATTTTGAACCAATTTCTTATCACAAGAATATGTCACGAGTTCATTAAGAGAATTTTCTCAAGTTGTCTTTTCATTCAAGCTTCAAAAGTCACATAAACGTTAAGTCTAAGCTTTGAATAATCCCATCATGTTACAAAACTTTTCAAGTTTTATGGTTTCAAATTCAAGATACGTTCATGTTCATCAAGGGTAATACATTTAAATTTACATGTAAACCTATGCTAAACTATCCTAAGTTTCAATTTTTTCCTACAATTTCAAGTCTTCTTGTCACCAAGCATGAGTTGTTGTCTAAATGCCAAAAATACACATTGCTGCCCCTACTACTATCTTGCTGCTACAAACACTTCAAACAGTCCAAAATACCCTGCAAAAACCTGCACCAAAGCAGCCAAATATTACACTAATTTAGCAAGACCAAAACCTTCATTAGAAAGGCAATAAATCAGAGTACCAAGTGTGTTCAAATGCATCATTACCTCATCTATGGTTTTATTTTCTTATACTTGTCGGAATCGGTAAACCTTCGGACGGGCTCCAACCATGTAAGTGCTTCTTGCTTTCCTTTAATATCTTACTGTGTTGTATTGTTGATCATACACATAGAATAAAATTGCTGCTGAAAATTGTTGCTTACGCCATGTTGCAAACTTTTGTTGTTACTGTTACAATAGAAATAGAATTGGAAAACTAAGTCTAATTGTTGTTGTTGTTAAATCATGAAAAACAAAAGACCTAAAAAAGGGCAGAAACACAACGAGAAATCTAAAGAAATAACACACAAAAATATTGGTACATACCTCAAACTCTTTGATTCGCATCTCATCCCGTCTGTTGCGCTTGGTGATTCGAAGGTTTTCTACCTGAAGATGAAAGGTTATTATCATAGGTATCTTACTGAGTTTAAGAGCGGCGCTGAGCGTAAAGATGTCGCTGAAAGCACTCTCACTGCTTATAAATCTGCTCAGGACATTGCAAACACTGAGTTGCCTCCAACTCATCCTATCGGGCTTGGTCTTGCTCTGAACTTCTCTGTGTTTTACTATGACATTCTCGACTCTCCTGACAGGGCTTGCGGCCTTGCAAAACAGACTTTTGATGAAGCTATTGCTGAGTTGAATACATTGGGAGAGAAGTCATACAAGGATAGCACTTTGATTATGAAACTTCTCCGTGATAACCTCACCCTTTGGACCTCTGATGTGCAGGATGACGGTGCTGATGAAATCAAAGAAGCTGCACCTAAAGGAAATGATGAACCACAATAAAATGTGTGATTGCTAATTAGTTATTAAACTTATCTTCTATCATGTTTTTAAAGGGAGAATAGAGAAAGTTTAAAACCAAGAGATAGGATGAGAGTCGTTTTCTCCTTCGCGAATTGGATTAGAGGGCGTCGTTTTGAGGCATTAGGGTTCTTTAACCCATTTTGCTAAATAAGGGTGAATGGGTTCGGACCCCATGACTCGGTCCGGTCCAACCCTATATGTTTGGTGTTTTTGTTTCAGTTTCTACATCGGGCCTTGCTCACCAAGCCCATTAGAAATTGTCACTCTCACCCCTCCAATTTCCTATCTCACACCTTCTTTTATTAAATAATTTAGTTTAATTTTAGAATTAATAATCTTAGAATAAATTAGTTTAGATGTAATTTAGAAATTTTATAATTAATGTAGTTTACATACAAAGTAGTTTAGATATAATTTAGTAATTATTGGAGTTAGATTTAATTTAGAAAATTTTAGAATTTTTTATAATCTTAGTTTTTTTTAATTTTGTTTAGAATTAATTTAGTAATTTATATATCTTCTTTAGATAATTAGTTATATTCTTTTTCATTCGTATCTAATCGTCTTAGTTCTTTTGAATTAAATATCTCACTGCCCTTGTTGTTATTAATTCGTTCGTTTAGATTTATTTTCTTGCGGATTCTCGATTACTTATATTGTGATATTCATCTTATTTTCGCTTGTTTGTGTCTATTCCAAGGGAAATAATTATTTTGTTGACTTCATGTCATCGAGTATCTAATATGATTGTGTGAAACCCCTTCATACTTTTTTAGTTTTATTAATCTTAAGACTAATCTCCTACAAATCAATTTTTAAATTTTCACTTTCTTGAGCCAAACCTTCGACACTAGGTTGTCGCATATTCAAAATCTCATCCCCACACTCATTTAACCAAAAAAACAATTTTAACCAAAAAACTAATATTTCAAAAGGTTTCTGCAGAGTACCGCAGATGCATAGGGTTCTAGTAATTTCCCTTTGTATAACTAACCCCCGAATCTTTGATATTTTTCAAATGCATCGTATTTTTCTTTACTTTTAGTATTTCACTTAATTTGCATATTTATGGGTTTTATTTCTCACTTTTCCCTTTTCCCTTTTCCCTTGGAAATAATAAAGCGCGGTGGCAACTCTTGCTTATTTGCGAGTCAAGTAAATTAATGGTTTGATCTCCGATTTTCACCGCTACAGAATTGGCGACTCTGCTGGGGAAAGATTGACCTCTTGTCGGTCCATCCCTAAGTGGGTTAAGCCTAATTTGTCATATCTATTTTTTATTATTATTACTTGTTTGTTTGATTATATGTGATATATTATGGTTATTTGGGTGTTGATTACAAAGGATAAGTCCTACACCCGGACTAAGATACACTTAAGATTAAGACGGGCGGTATAATCATGTTAACTTTGAGGGAGTAATACCGAAAAAGGAGGCATGAGATCCCCCACTGAGTGGAGGTCCCCTTGACTGTAATATTTCTTTACCGAGTAATTGGGAAGACATTAATGCTTTCAACCTGGGAGCCAGAGAAGCTGAGAACTGTAGAACCCTTAACCCATTTTGGCCTTTTAGATATAGTGCAGAGACTATGAAGGAGTACTCTGGAAGTAGTTGTCACGCAATGCTATGCTTAGACGAGTTTTTCTTGAGAATATTGCTAATTACTGAGTAACCGGGAAGTTGGTAATATCCGAAAGAAAAATGTAGACTCTGGGATTCCTTAGAACCTTGATCTACAGGTGATTTGAAGACCTTAGTCCATACCTTGCAGGTGGTTCTTACCTTTGACTCCATGCTCGTGACGTTGAACCTTTTAACTTTGTTTGTGACCTTGCTTGTGGTTGTTGCATAGCCATGCCTTCATGCATCCATGAAACCTTTTTTCACTCGGTTTTCAAGGAATTTGGAAGTATTTCTTTGTAAACATCACACGTTTCGTCAAGCTCAGTGGATCTTGGGTGTTGATGGGGTGAAAAACCTAATCCACCAAAATGGATGATTCATCTCGATGATAACTTGATCAATGTTTTAATCCGATTTAAAATTCATCTTCTATCTTCATACTTTGATGTTTACAACTTAATATCTTGAGTTCCTTGAAAATCAAATAAAAACTATACTTTGCATATCATGCATCATTCTACATTTTTTTTGTTTCACTTTCAAAGGTCATTTCCAAGTCTTATTTTTCCTTGGGTCTCACCAGCACAACACTCGCGCTAAGATAATAATGGAGAATAACAAGAAAGCGGTTTATGAACTCCGCAAAGAGATGACTAATTTGAAAGCTAGTATGGAACACTTAACTGGTTTGGTTGAAATTTTGGTTGCCACCTAAGTCAATCCTTATAGGAAGGAAGAAGCGATGGAAAAGGTCTTCATTGAAACTCTGAAATCATTCTTTCACGAGAAGATGATAATTAATGCCCCTAGTGACTTTCTTGACAAGGTGAATGTAGGAGTGCGTCTAGAAGAAGATATTCGAAAGGGATGTTTATATGAAGACGGTGGCTCAGCTAGTGGTGTGAAGAAGTTTGATAATAACTTTTCCAAGAAGACATCCAGAGGAAGAAATAATCATCGCCAGAATAATCATATTTCTCCTATCATCCCTGTGTTCAATTTACCTTCTGCAGCTCCAATTCATCAACATAATCAACAAGTTCCTAATCAGACGAAAACTCAATTTGATCCAATTCCAACGACCTATACGAAGTTGTTTCCTGTCCCGATGCAGAGGAATTTGGTTCAGACTCGACTTCCACCTAAGATTCCTGGGAAGATGCCTTGGTACTACAAAGATGATTTAACTCGTTCCTTTCACAGGGAGCCCCTGGGCATAACATTAAACATTGTTATTCATTGAAAGCTGAAGTCTAGAAGCTGGTCAAAAGTGGTATCTTATCTTACAAGGACGTTGGTCTTGAAGTTCAAATCAAGCATTTGCAGAAGAGTAAACATGATTGATGGTTACTCTGAGTTTTAAAGGATTTTTTCAGCAGCTCAAGTCCAAATGGAGAGAATCTTCTAAGTTTATTATCATTTTTACTACTTTCCTTTGTAATCTTTCATGTTTGTTAAAGCTTTGTTTGCATGTAAGAACTTGTTTACATTTGAATGATCATCTTAATACAATGAGTATGTTTTTCTTGAATAAATTCATTCGTTTCACTCATATTTGTTTTCAAATTTTAAATTGCTTTTTGCATTATGATACCAACTTGTTTCCCACTCTCTTTCCTAGGCAGAGATTGAAGGGAGGATGATGAATTTAAAACACAAAATCTCTGGGTGTATGCTTTTGGATAAAACCTTTCTGAGGATGTACAAGCATTGTTTCAAATCCCTAAACACCAGAGATATCAGGAAAATAATCCCTTGCTAACCCCTTTTGAGCCTTGAAGTAGGAGTTTCTTTTCTATACGAAAAAACCCTCAATTTTAACCTGGGGCAGGGTAGTTTTCAGTTAATCTAATCGAGTGTTCAAAATTCATAAGGAAGATATTTCTAAAGAGAAAATGTGATGGCTATCCTTCATATATCATGAGGCCAGGAGATGCGAAACCATAATGGTTATCCCTCATCCATCAAGAAACGAGGCACTCACAATCCTCTCAACAAGTAAAGACAAGCTAATGTCACACGTTTTGTTCACAAAAAAATCCCGCTAAGTCGAAAGCTTGAAAACGAGAAAATTAGGAAAAAATTATGGCATCCCGCTAGACTATCGATTCAAAAGAATTAGTTAAGGCAAAAGTTAGGGAAAACAAAAATTTCAAAGAAAGACTACACAAAAATCCTCAGTAAAGAACAAATTCGTGTAACTACAAACACGAAGACATAAGGGTGGATGCTACTCCAAAAGCTTCGTTGTTTCCTTAATCGTCACAAAATATTTTTTTAAATATGAACACGAATGTTAAATTAACTGAACTTAGGACTGGAGAACATCACGAAGAATGGGTAGGCACCAATAAATTTTGAGCCTAAAAAATATTTTTTCTGAAAACCGTGAACCAGGTCACGTTACAACCTTCAAAAGTCCTAATTGAAGCAAGGTTATTTCGAAATCATACTTCGACAAGATTGCGTTCCTGACTCTCATAAGTTTTGTTAAATATTTGTGTTGGTATCATATGCTTTTTCTATACAAAAATAAATGCTGCTCTAACTCGCAAAGTTTGTGCGATATCTTTTCAAAATCTTCAAGACTTACATAACTATTGCATTAGAACTTTCATTCTCAGAATAAACTTTTTCTGCTTGTAAAAAATTTGTTTGATATCAAGAAAGCTTACATATAAGCACCAATGATGAGTTTAATCTTTTAAGGTCTAAAACATTATTAAGTAATTGGCGAATCATTTTCAAGAATGATCATATCCAGGGACATGTCGCCTGAAGACCTTCGGCATGAACAGGTTGCTACCTTCATAGTTCATTTACCCTCATAGGGAAAATTTGAAGACTTTGTCTTTCCATATACAGTCAATCTGGGGCAGTCACGTCAAGATTTAACGAATCTCTCCAAGAGTTTGAAGACACTAGAGCATTTTGGATGCCAGGTCTTTTGTAAAATCCTCTTGATAAGATTTCTTCTCATCAACCATATAACTTGGGGCATTTTAGAAGTGAAGTTATTCGCAAGAATTGTCGTGCGTCACGTAGCTTATCAGCAGTAAACTTGGGGCATCCAAAATTAGTTCCAGGGGTAATCCAGATTTGTCAAGATATGTGATCTACTTTCCACACATTATCAGATGATGGAGTTCCCTAGTATCTCCAGCTAAGCAATATTTTTTTCTAGCTAAGCAAGATTTTTCTCCAACTGCAGCAGAGTTCATGTTGTTCTCCTTTCAATGATTATTGATGTTAGAAGATTGGACTTTGGATTTCTCCTGAAAAATATCTTCCTCTCTAGAGAGATTAGAGCCTTATAGTAGAAATATTCTCTGTTGATGGATTTTATTCTATC